AATTCTGGGAGTTGAAGTCCACACATCTTAAAGTTGCTAAGGTTGAGAAACACTGATCTAGAAATGTAAGAAAAAATCAGAAGAGTATAAGAACTAACCATTTGGAAGACTGGAAGGAGGGCTAATAAGGGTATCCAATGTGCATGGACCTTTTGAAGATATCACTGCAGGAAAACCAGGCACGAGACAAGCAAAAATTAACAGTTGTTCTTCTGCACAATTAGTCTGGAGAGCTTGCAGCCAGAGTAGAAATAATCGTATCCCTTCACATCTTATCTGAAAAGAAGGCACATTTTAGAAACCAATATAAAAGTAAATGTTCACAAAACATATTAGAAATCATCACAGTTCTAAAACAAAAACTATGAAACTGTTATAATCATATTTTTTAGAATTAAACTGTTAAATCTTAATTTGATGACCCTCCAAATTTCTGTTTAGAAGATTAGGAACTTCCTGCGGACACATGCTCCTGCCTTCTCTATGAATCTCCCACAAGAAGCCTCTTCTCCACATAAATCCCTTTTCTATTTCTACATTTCAGGAAAAAAACCATACTTCCTATATTTCATTCAAGAAAAGTATAAGTAGCAATCAAACCAATGTAAAACTATGTTAAGCCAAAACATTTGAATCTGCAAAAAATGCTTAATCCTCAAAAACAGATTATGGCTAGAGGATTACCCAAACGGAGCATATAAAAATTCATTTTAACCCATCAGAAGAACCTTGATGGCTCTCCTACATGAAGATCAGCAAATACTGTGCTGTTGTCAGGCTTCTCTCCAGCAAGCTGGACTGGGAAAGATATACAGGCACATGTGAAAGAATTCCAGAGAGAGCTGTGCATCAAATGTGAGTTCTATTTATACTAAAATCAGCAAATTCTTGCATTTCTTTTCCCATTCACTCTATGTAAACGGCTACAAGTGACCTCACTCTTAGTGAGAGGAATCATTCCATCTGTTCCTTGTTTTACCTGAATATTATTACTTGTTATAACTGTATTTATTTCTGTTCCAAAGTAAAAAAAAATGCATTTGTCTCTGTTAAATTTAATTCTGTTGTTTTTGGCCTATTTTTATAATGTCTCAAAAATGAATGTTATTTCTGTTTTCTAGAGAACAGGCTATCACACCCAAATTTGCAATATATACTGATTCCCTCCAATATAAAAATGTGTAAAATTACAGTGCCCAGGAATGAACCTTGTGGCATCCATTTGTTGATACTGAGTTGTTCAGTTGCTTCCAATTCTTTGTGACTGAACGGACATAATTTTGCCAGGATGTCCGTCAGCAGCTGCTTGTTTGGATTCTTGTAAACTCAGGCTTGTGTCATCAGTAACAGGATACAGCTACCAGTCTTCTGCTGGCCTCTTTTTTAATTGCCTTCAATTTTTCCAAGCATCAAGGGCTTCTCCAGGGTGTCTTGCTGTTGCATTTTGTAACCAAAATATTTAAATTTTACCTTCATTGTTAATGTATTACTATTATTAGTAAGCAATTCGTTTTTATTTCATCTAGCATTCAATATAAGCTGTTCTTATAATCCAAGTTGTTTTGTCTGAAACCACAATTCAAAGGCATATTTTTTCCCAGTAGTTCAGCTTTCACAGATATATATTATAACCTTGTCAATTTCATAACTTTGTGATCACTTGATATCATGGCAAAATAGCAGATCTCTATTTCATGGCTACAGTCACCATCCCTGTGAATTTTTTACCCCTGGAGGATAAAGTCTTGATTGCACTGAGTTGGTACTATCTATTGACATAATCTTTATGTCAATAGATAGATTTTTTTTTATTTTTAAAATTAAATAGCAAACTGGATTGTGCATTCTCTCTTTTTAATCTTCAACAAGAGATTCCTTAATTTTTTTCTTCAGGCATTTTTGATATATTAGCAGACAGCCATTTCACTTTCTTTTGGTTTTTGGATTTTGGGATATTTTTGTCTCCTTCATTTTTAGCAATCTCAATATGTCAGTCCATAATTCTTCAAGCACTCAGTTGACCAAATCTAATCCACTAAATCTGTTCTTTACTTTCACCACACAATCATATAGAATACTGCTGGGGTCATTTCTCCACTTATTTTCTTTAGCTGAAGTTGTAATTTTGCATCTCAACTAAGTCTCTCTAAAGCTTCATTTTATATATTGAGAAGAAATTTTCCCATTTTTTCAGATGTTAGTTTCTTTCCAAATTTAGCATTCCAGTCTCCTAAAGCTAGTATGAGGTCTTTATTGAGGAGGGGCAGTGTTGTAAGTCACCGTAGACTATTTAACTTTCACTTCTTTTTCATCTATGGCTGGAATACAGCCTTGGTTAACTGTAATATTAATTAGTGTGTGTTGAACTCAAACTGAGATCATTCCATCGTTTTGGGATGTATTCCTTATCTGTACCAGATCTCATGCTTCTTTGATGTGAAGTGATCCATTACACTCTATTTCAGTTTGCTGATTCCCAAAATGAATGTTTTGATGCTTCTTCTCCAACAATATCAGACCAAGATGGTGACCTGCTAACAGCAGCTCTCATGAGCTCCTTGTCCCCTTTTTTTATTTACTGTTTAAATGGCAATATAGACTGCATTTTTCTAATAGCTTTAAGTTGCTGAGAGAAGGAAAGAAGAAGGAAAGGAAATAAGGAAGAAGTGAGGAAGAATTATAGATTGCCTGAGAAATCTGTCTGAGCAGGATGGGCAAAAGGAAGAAATATTATGGAGCCAGTCCTGGATAACAACCCCTCATCAAGTTAGTCAGAAATTGAGGGATTCCCATTATGTAAGGAAACTGTAAGGAAACCAACTTCCACCTCTATTTCTATCTCCAATAGATTTGTGGTGCTTGAATGGGATCTTGAAACAGAAAAATAGCTGCTGTCACAGGTCTTTACTCCCTTAAAAGATTAGTTTCTTGGGTAGTCTAATTTCCTCCCAGCTTCTTCAGGTGTTCCCCAGCCCCCTACTATAATTAATCCTTTATATTTACTGTAAAAGAAGACAAGGCTACACAGAAACATGATTAGGAGAAGTTGTTTGCACAGGAAGGCTCAAGTGAATTTCTGGCCAAGCAATACTAGAGCGGTTGCCATTTCTTTCTCCAGTGGATCACGTCTTACCTTTCCTCCCTATTTACTAGTAGGATGAGACTGAAAGAAACTGCACCCAACTTTGCAGGATGGTCTTTATAGGGAAAGGGACAGCACCAAAATCAAACCACCAGACAATGAGGTTTCAACAAGAGTTTTTAAGGGCATTTCCAGCAGAATGCTCAATATAATATAATGGCAGCTGATCCCAAAGAATGTCCCTAGCTAGTAAAACTCCATTTACCTATTGTTCAAACAGCTGCTTAAATAGTAGGCAGCCATGCATGACATGGCAACACACACAATTATGTATCCTCTCAATCCTTGGGAATTGAGACTTATGACCAAGGCACTGTTTGTGCTTGATATGTTCTTGCTCCCAATGGACCTTTTAAATACAAAGACAGCCATGCTGAGGGATTCCAAGAATGGGAGAGTCAAGCTTTTGTGCTTGCCAGACTGTGTGATCAACAGTGAATAGCAGCATCACCAATAATGAAGATTTCCTGGTGGAGAAAGCAGCACGAGGCAAGGAAAGGAGACTAAGTCCAAGAGACTCTACAAGCTGCAGCAAATTTGAAGAAAGAACTTCATACTTCAGAGCAATTTCTTGAAGCCTCACAATATTTTCAGGACAGCCAAGAACACTGTGATCCATAAATTTCAGTCTCTGAATCTGATGGCTGTGCTAATGTGCCTACTTAGACAATTTATTACATTTATGGTGACAAACTCGAAAACAGGAAGGGAAAAAGTCATGCCCAATAAGTTTTTTTTGTGTGTTCATCCACAAATGAAGAAAGTGGGAAATTAACTTGGGAGGATTCAGCAACATGGTGGCCACACCTGAATTTGAACAATAAAGTCACATATAAAAACCTTTAAATGAGAATTAGTTGCTCTTAAATTCTTATGTAATGTACCCATGGAATCTTATTGTAGGTATTGCATTGCACTGTTTCAGTCAAAAGGCCAACAGTTTTCCTCATCTCCCCCATTTACAGTATGTCTGCTTAACAGACTTTAATGAAAATTCCAGATCAGAAGCCTACAAATCATCAAGCGCCAGTTTAGCAAATCTAAAAGTTCTATACAATTCCTATATTATTGACTAACTGATTATGTGCCATCAATTGTGTCAATGTGATTTCTTTTCTTTACTTTCTTTTCTAAATTAATGTGATAAGATTGCTTTTCTTCTTGTCCAGAGTATGCTATAATCCTATGCTGTATATGAGATTTAAGTGAATCCCAAAGAATCCTTTTGTTCACCAATCTATTTATTGGAAAAAATAAATTGCAAAATCTTTTTGTTAATTAGTATATTGTGGATCCTTTAATAGTGACATATGAAAATATCAACTCACATCAGCTTAATATTTATTACCAAAAACCACAGATAGTACAACCATACTATGATCAGATATAGAACTTATAGAACAATTAATGACCTATTAACTATGGATCAAGAAAATAATAAAGAATCCAAACATGAACATGTGCCAGGACAGTTTTTTAAAAAGTATATTCTTTTGAGTTGGAGTAAAGTATCTCCATATACAGAACAAATTAAATTCCTTAAAAAACACATGGAGGGCACTTCAGCTGTGTACTCAGTTTTTCTTAGAAACATTATTGCTGTCAACTGAAGGTTCCAATACTAAATTAGAATTTCCAGCTACCATGATATGGAACAGCTGTAAATTAATGACAAAAATAATAATAATAATAACAACCATATGGAATAGGCTTATCTCTAACTGGACCATAAATTCATAAGAATCATCTATCACTATTTTCAACAACCAAAATTATTCATTCACATTCAGTGTTTTAATTTTTTTTTGCTCAATTATATTCCTCTTATAAAATCTGAAGACTTTTAAATTACTATAATAATTCTGTCCATTTTCAAATTCATACTAATATTAATCTTTGGTCAATCCATCTTTGCAAGTAAATATTTTTTGTCAGGAAAAATATGGGTTTCTTGCAGAAAAGCTACTTCAAGCTTCAATATACTCAGTTTATACAATATATTCAGTTTATAAATATTTTTAAAAGTCCTCCCATTGGATATACCTCTTGGATCTTTAACATTCCATGATACAGTATCTAAACTGATGCAGTATAAAGATTAAAGTAATATAATTCTATATTGGAAAGATCCAAC